AAAATGTGGAGACAAAGAAACAGGTCCCAAATGAAAGAACAGAACAAAACCCCAAGAAAAGAACTAAGCGAAATGGGGATAAAAGCAACCTAACAGATGCTGAGTTCAAAATACTGCTTATAAAGATGCTCAATGAACTTAGTGAGAACCTCAGCGATCTTAGTAAGGACCTCAAGAACTTAAAAAAGGACCAGTCAGAAATGAAGGATGCACAGTCAGAAATGAAGGAGTCACTAACTGAAATAAAGAATAATTTACATAGATTCAATAGTAGAATAGGAAAAGCCAAGAAGCAAACCATCAATTTGGAATATAAGGAAGCAAAAAATACCCAATCAGAACAGCAAAAAGAAAAAAGAATCCAAAAAAAATTAGGACAGTGTAAGGGGCCTCTGGGACAACTTCGAGCGTGCCAACATTTGCATCTTGGGGGTGCCAGAAGGAGAAGAGCGAGAACAAGAAATCGAAAACCTATTTGAAATAATAATGGCAGAAAACTTCCCTGACTTGGTGAAGGAAATCGATATACAAGTCCAGGAAGCACAGAGATTCCCAAACAAGATGAACCCCAGGAGGCCCACACCAAGACACATCATCATTAAAATGCAAAAAGTCCAAGACAGAGTCTTAAAAGAAGCAAAAGAAAAGCAGTTAGTTACCTACAAGGGAGTTCCCATAAGACTGTCAGCTGATTTCTCAAAAGAAACTTTGTAGGCCAGAAGGGAGTGGCAAGAATTATTCAGAGTGATGAAAAAGCAAGAACCTACAACCAAGATTACTCTATCCTGCAAAGCTGTCATTTAGAATTGATGGCCATATAAAGAGTTTCCCTGACAAGAAAAAGCTAAAGGAGTTCATCAGTACCAAACCATTATTATATGAAATGTTGAAGGGTCTTCTTAAAGAAAAAGATAAAAAATATGAACAAACAAAATAGCAATGAACACATTATCTATCAACAATTGAATATACAAACAAAATGAACACGCAGAACAGAAACATTCTCATAAATACAGAGAACATTTTGTTGGTTGCCAGATGGGAGGGGGGTTGGGGGAATGAGTGAAAAAGGTGAAGGGATTAAGAAGTACAAATTGGTTGCTAGACTGACAAACCTCAAAGGGAAGAGGGGATTGGGGGTGGGAAGAAATAAACCAAAGAACTTATATGCATATATGCATAACCAATGGACACAGACAACAGTGTGGGGAAAGGGGGGGGGGAATGGGGGGGACAGGAGTAGGGAGGGGGTAAATGGAGAAAAAATGAGGAACATGTATAATACGATCAACAATAAAGATAAGTTTAAAAAAGAAATAAATAAATAAAAAGAAAAAAAACTCTCCAAGTTCTCTTATTCTGAATAAAGATCAGTTTGGGGAAGAAATCTCTCAGCCCAAAATGATCTTGATTACTTTTAAGTTCTAGGTATTTAACAGGTTTTGAAAAAAGGAGGCACAGTAATTTAACACTGATTTAGTAATTATTGCTGGAGATATGACTTCATAATAACAAGGGTTAGATTAGTTACCTCGTAGTTAAAAAAAAAAAAGATCACTTTAAAAAGCAATTTAGTAAGTTGTTACACTGGGATCATATAAGTCCAACAGATGTATGTGACTTCTGATAAAATTTCCAAAAACAGCACACTACACTGATTCACAAAGTGCAGGATCATAAATATCTAGAGGGAAGTGAATATGGTGCATTCTGGAAAACTGGTAGATGATGTAGAAACAAAGATGATAATAGTGTCAGAAACCCAAAAGAAAAATCTGAATTAAAATGTTTCAGCCCAGCCGGTGTGACTAAGTGGTTGAGCGTCGATCCATGCACCAACAGGTCGCCAGTACGATTCCTGGTCAGGGCACATGCCCATGTTGTGGGCCCAGTGGGGGCATGCTGGAAGCAACCAATTGATGTCCTCTCTCATCCATGTTTCTCTCTCTCCCTCTCTCTCAAATCAGTAAGAAAAAGAAAAGTTTCAGAAAAAAGTGAAAACAGGATTTTCCAAGTAAACATATTTGTATGATTTTAAATATACATTCAACCAAGATAGTAAGTAATCATAGATAAACTATTGGATCTAGAGTCCCTAAAACTTTTATATTCCAATTGGCCCAAAAATGTTTTTCAAGTCTTTTTTCATTAGTGTTATCTTACTTTCTGACACTTAATGCATTCCTATGACCTAATAAACAAACAAAACACTTAAGTGTCAGAAGGCCACAGTGGTGCCCCGGTCTCTCTGCATTTATGCCTAGCCCACAGAGGCATCTAAGCCTGTAACTCTTGGATGCAGCCCACCCAGACAGGAACTCCCCCACTCACCTTCTCTCATCTTTTGATCTAATTCATCCAGTGTGGGCTCGATCAACTCCCAGCCATCTGGGGGAGCTTTCCGGCTTCTTTTAACTTTAGGCATTTCCCCCCACAAGATAATCTGCAAGGATCTGGGAGGGAAAATTAAATGAATTAGTTTCTAAACCTCAGATTGCCAAAGGCCTTCACCAGCCTCCATTGTGGTGCACATTCACTTCTCTGTTACCTCATCTGTAAAATGGGGTTAACAGAACCTACATTATAGGGTCATTGTGAAGATTTAAGTATAATTGTATGTAACATGCCTGTCTTTTAATTTGTGCTTAATAGGTTTTTGCTGTTATCATTAACTGACACCAACTATTAATCTGGCCCCGTACTGGATACTGGGAACATAGAACAATGAATAAGACGCAACCTCTGTCCTTGAGAAGGTGACATTCTAGTATGGAGATAGAAAGTAAAATAGCAATTACAAAAAGTGAAAGAACTATGACTGGGGCAGCTGAGAGGATGAGTGTTTAAAAGAGCCCTGGCCAGTGTGGCTCAGTTAGTTGGAGCATCATCCCTCTGAACAGAAGGTCATGGGTTTGATTCCTGTTCAGGGCACATACCTAAGTTGTGGGTTCAATCCCTGGCTGGGTTGCTTATGGGAGGAAACCAACTGATGTCTCTCTCACACATTGATATTTCTCTCTCTTCCTCCCTCTCTAAAAAAAACTAAATAAAAATTTTAAAAAGGGCAAAAGACAGTGTAAAACAAAAGTACCTTAGGGCTGATTCCCAAGAGTGTAACTGAATGATCTCTCTTCAGTTACAGGCTCAGGTTCTTGTCCAGCTCTACCAATTACTCTGTGACTCTGGGGAGGTCACATTCCCTCTCTGGTACTCAGTTTCACCTGTAAAATGAGGGTGGTGGATTAACTGGATTGCCAAGGTCTCTTTTTAAACTCAACAAACATACCACATAGAGGTAAGTCGTGTAAAGCCCATATAAAAGTCTAGCCCAAATGTAAATGACAAATAATTTTTTTCAAACCTCACAGCATTTCCTAACCGGCAAAACGAACTCAGATTATCTCTTACTTTTAAGCATAGCAGACTCCTCTCTTCCAAATTCATTCATCCCCTCCTTTCTCTTCTACAGGGTGCCTGATGGTTTACAAAGTCCCCCCGCCCCCAGCCTCCTTTTATGAATTCATGACAATACAGATGAGGAATTAAACTCCAAAAGGTGTAAAGTCAAAGTCGCACAGCTTGGATGTGGCAGCGTCTGACTTTGATTAGGGTCTCTTGACTCCCAAATCAGTGGTCTTTGCACTTGTCTCCCCTACGCTGAAGCTAGAGATGGGTGAAATTTGGTTCCTGCCCCAGCGCGCAAGGGCTGGGAGGGCAAAGACACGGGAATAACCTCTCTACTATCACCCTGGGAAATTCGAGGGTCCTGGCCCAGCCTGGGAGTCAGAGGAGGACTCCCAGGGGAGGTAACGGGTGGGAGGTAAACTAGATCAAGAAGACGTGTCGGGAGGTATAAGAGAGGTAGTAGCGTTCGACAGAGGAGGCGAGTGGAAAGGCTATCCGCAAAAAGGCAGGAAAGGAATCGGAAGAAAGGCTACTAGAGAAGACGGCGCCTGAACCGGGCTTACAAGAACAAGCCGTTTTGCCCTGGCCGGTTTGGCTCAGCGGTTAGAGCGTCGGCCTGCGGTCTGGAGAGACCCGGGTTCGGTTTCCGCTAAGGGCATGTACGTCGGTTGCAGTTTGTCCCCGGCCCTGGTTGGTCGTGCGGGTGGCAGCCACTCGATGTGTCCCTTTCACGTCGATGTTTCTCTCTCTCTCTCTTCCTCTCTCTCCCTCCCACTCTACCTGAACAAAAAATGGAAAAATGACCTCGGGTGAGGATTAAAAAAAAAAAAAAGAACAAGCCGTTTTTAGGCAGAACACGCTCTTGGCAGAGAAAGCAGCGTGTGTGTGTGCGTGTTTGTGTTTGTGTGTGTGTGTGGGGGGGGGAGGTAGAAGGAAAAAAAACCCCAAATCTTCCGTCCCCTCTGCAGAACGAGTGAGGCGCCGGCTCTTCTCCGTAACTCACTCCGACCTCCCGGTCCAGAGGCCCGAACCCGTCCCAACCCAGCCGCTCAGATCGCCCTTTGGGCCAGTGCACCCCTCCAGTCCCTGGCCCGTGCCATTACCAAGATACTCTAGAACAGACAAAAAAAACACCCACCGGAACCTCTAATGCCGTCGACAGCCACTTCTCTCTCCTCCGCTTCCGCTTCCCAGGTGACCACTTCAGGACGAGGTCTTCGCGGAGCCCCGCCCCAGCTCGCGCAAATATTGCGTCATCTTAGGTGTCCGCAACTCTGCCTGTAAAGAATACCAGAACTACTGTTGCTTTTTGCCCTCACTTTCCGGGGGTTGTCCAGTCGACTCTGCGTCTCCCCGGGCGGGGAGACTGGGGGCGCTGTTGCCCGGCAGCACGCACGCAGGAGAGCCTGGACTCAGGCGGCGCACCGGACAGTTTAACTTCGCGCGCCGGCTTCCTTGAGGTGCCTAGTCCTGGCGGCGGCGGCGGCGGCGGCGGCGCGGCGCGGCGCTGTGGGAACTGTACTGGGCGGAAGAAGTTAAGCCCGAGGCATTTCCGTTTCCGGTGTCAGTGCGAGGCGCCGCCGCCGCCGCTGCCGCCGCCGGAGCCGCCGGAGCCGCCGGAGCCGCGATGCCTAAAGGAGGTGAGGGGCGGGAGCGCGTGGCCCGCGGACCTCGAGAGGCGGCCCGAGTCTGGCTCCCGCTGTCCACTCAGCCCGCGGGCATCTCGGAAAGCGGCGCGGAGGGAGGACGTCCGTGCCGGCTGAGAGCTAGGCCTGGGCCTCGACGCCGAATTGTCCGGATGGAGAAACTGAGGACTAAAGTGGCCTCGAGCCACTCCTTCGGGGGTCTGAGGAGACTCGGAGGCTCCGAGTCCTCGCCGATGCAGAAAGCCAGATCTAGGGCGCGCTTCTCCTCGCCTGGGGGGTCTGGTGCTTTATTCTGGACTCGCGTGGGACTGAGTCACCGCGTCCAGCGTCTGTGCAGTGCCCGCCTGCCTCGTGTGGGCTCTCTCGGGCTCTGGGCGAGCCAGGCCTGCCTGATGAGACCTAACTTGAGCCTGGCAGACTCAGCTTGGAGTGCCCCATTCTGCAGCGGCTTGATGTGTGCCGTTGAGCCCAGTCGCTTAACCTCCCTGTATTTCGGTTTTCTCATTTGCAAATGAGGGATTGTACCTACCTCCTAGTATTGATGTCAGGCTTAAACTAGGTAATCCCCATGGAGTGCACAATGGAGTGCTGGGCAGGCAGATGCCTAGTAAGCTTAACTATTGTTATTTGTAAGGCTTTTGTCAGTACCTTGGCCAAGAAGGTAAAGAATCCGTGGCTTCCCAGTACATTGTCAACCCTCCTCCATTCTCTTTTTCCTGAGTCAGTAGTTCTCGATTTGAAGCCTATCTTGTGGCTTTGAACAACTTCTTCCAGACTGTTTTCCTCCCCTGGAATACCTGGCTCATAACCCGTAGGTTGGAGAGTCGGGGTTAGGGATGATAAATGATAGAGTGCTTGAAGTGCCTGGCTAGCTCCTGCCACAGAACAGATGTTCAGTTAATGTCCATAGCTCATGTGTCAGTTGGTTGAGATGTATCAGCCCACAGGAAAATCTACTTGGAGCTTTTCCAAACCTAAATGACTTCCTGACTACATTGAGAGATACTGGACTTTACAGAGCTGAATCCATTTAAACCTACATATCTACTGGTTTATTCTGTGGTAGGAAGAGCCACGTCTTTGTGTTCCTTAGTCTCCTGTTATGCACAAGAAGGATGCTAAGTGAGCCCTTCTGACTCCAGAATTCTTACTCTAGGAGTCCTATTTAACACTTTTGAGCCAAGGTTGGAGGGTACAGTTAGAAAGTCCTAAATATGAATTATTGGTTAAATGATGTGGCCCTTTGACTTGCGAAAAGATTTATATGTAAACAATATTTGAATTTCTTGCTTGTATTAATTTGCGTCAAAAGCAAAACAAAACTTGATGTTAACTTATCAAATTCCCCATGAGCCAAGGACCAACATTTGTTTCTGTTATATAACTGTGAAGCATTTTTAAAGGCATGAAGGGCTTCTGATAAAAGTTATTGTAGACTAAGCTAAGGTCAGTATCCCATAGCCAAGTATGCAGGATAGGAGCCTATAGTAGCCAATTTTGAATTCTTACTATTGTCTGGGATATTAAGAGGGCAAGAATGGGTGTTGGTTCCTTATAATGGCAAGCTTGATCTCTCATAATAGGACTTTCATGAGCATAGACTGAGACACTCCTGGGAACCCAGGAAGTCATTAAAAATGGGAGCTGTACGTTGTAGCAGCCCAATTATGGCTTTGCAGCTGCTGTCTAAGAAATCAGGGGAGGTCCGTATCTCTGTTGCTGTCTCTGGAGTCCAGAGCAGCTCTGGCTGTCTAATGTAGATTCTCTGCTGTCAGTGAGAGACTCACTGGAAATTAGGTGAACTACAGCTTTTAGGAAAGGTGGGGATGGGTCAGAGCCACAGCCACCCCAGTCAGTATCCTCTGGGAGCAGCAGAAGGGGGCCACCTTGGTATAAAACTGGCTGATGGCTTTAGCCATCATAAAACTGATACTCTTAGATACATTTGAATGGCTAGTCATATTTTAACTCTTAGGTGGTAGTCAGATTTATTTTCAACTTTAACTATGTTTCTTACTCTAAGCACAAGGAACTTTTTCCAGTAGGTTTTAAGTTTTTTTTTCTATCATACCACTTAAGGTGAACATGAAGTATTTTATATTCCCTACCATCTGTAGTAAATCATCTATGTGGCTTTGTCCCCCCCTCCCCCAAATATTGTATATTAGAGAAAAGTAACAATCACAATAAATATTTTGTAGTGCTTATCCCATGCCAGGCACTGTCCCAACAGTTTTGCATATGTTAAGTCCATATTCATGACAACCCTGTGAAGTAGGGACACAGATGAAGAAGCTAAGACTCTTAGAGGTTAAATACCTGCCCAAAGTTATAAAGCTTGTAAATGGTAGAGCTGAGATTTGAATCCCAGGGTCAGACTGCAGCATTTGTGTTCTTCACCACTCCATTTTGATCTTAAGTCTCCTTGTTTATAAAAGGGGACCAGTCGTGACTCCTGTACCATAAGTTTGTTCTGAGGATCAAATGAGCTCATGGCTGTGACAGAACATTGCAAGTAAAAAGAACTATAGTGACAGCAGGGATGTAAGTGTTACATGTTCTCATGATTGCACTTGAATCTTCTATGTTTGGATTCTAAGGGACCAGAGGATTAAGCCAGTCCCTGCATGCAGTACGCCACCCCCCGTATCCTCTGTTCAGGTCTTATTTGTGGGAGCCTGCATCCAGCATATAGTTTAGTGCTGCATCAGGTGATCACATGTTGCCTCTTTGTCCCTTTGAACATGTGAGGATGGGGTAAGTATAGGTTTGGGTGGTGCTTGGTGAGGGGTAGGTGAGGTGCTTCAATGAGAGTGCCTCAAGCAGGACACAGCTCTCTCTGGGGCTCGGCAGTCAAAGAAGCTGCTTCCCTCCTGCCTTTCTAAACTGCCAGTCCTCTTGCAGGGAGAAAAGGAGGCCACAAAGGCCGGGCACGGCAGTACACGAGCCCCGAGGAGATCGATGCACAACTCCAGGCTGAAAAGCAGAAGGCCAGGGTGAGTATATGCCTGTCCAAGCCAGGGGGTGCTCTGCCTCTGGTACCCAGAGATGCCAGGCAAAGACCACCCATTCTCAGAAAGAAACCTACACCTGGAGTTTGGGGGAGTAGCAAGGAACAGGCAGGAGTCTCAGAACAACCAATGCCAGTCATCCACTGATTGGATCGATTAGAGTTTTGTTCACTCAGCAATGGTTGCCTTAGTGAGTCTCTGTTCTTGTTCCTGTGTTCCCGCCTTCCAAGGGCTCTCCCTCTGCTAGCTCTGCCATCTCCAGGTTGAGTTCCCAGCACCACCCCTTGTCTGCTCCAGCCATACAGGACTGCTTGCCAAACCCAGCATAACATGATCCCCTGCCTTCCTACACCCCTACTAGGCAAAGTAACATTTGTTTTCCCAGACCTTGCTCAATGTTACCTCTTCTGTGACTCTCACTGGTGCTAGCCATCTTTACCCCTTCAGTGCAAGCTTAGTATTTACCTCTACTCTGTTTCCACAGTGCTTTTTCCAGACCACTGTCAGGAAACAAAATATGTTTCTGTCATTGTAGGTGTTCATGTCCCCTACCACACCATTAGATTCTCATCTGCGGAAGGGCGTATGGTCAGGCTAGGGTAGAGGGGAAGGAGGTCCTGCCTGGTGAGGAGGCTGGCAGCTGAGCAGGACCTTGGAGAATGTGTGGTCAAGTGCTAATGAGGAAAGGATGTATAGTTTTTGTAAGGGTTCTCTTTGATGAGAAGGCAAGAAAAGTGAAGGGAAGTGGTATGCTGTAGTATTGTCTTGGGAAGCTGTTGTAGAAGGGCTACGATATAGACAGGTTGGAGTGATTGGCCTGCCACTGATTGTGGGAGTGGAAAATGGGGGGAAAACTTGCCCAAGAAAGTGAGTATGATTTGGCAGCTGCATATGGCAGCTGGGGAAGTAGGAGGGGAGCTGAGCAGGACTAGCCCCAGAGAGATGAGGTACCTAGCCTGAGAAAGGAAACAAGGTCTTTATGGCTATGTAAGGGACTTGCTGGACTGTGGGAATGGCTTCCAGGCTGCAGAGTCAAGTGGATAGGCTGCTTCTGACCCAGGTCTCCCATGGGGAACTAGGGTCTCGGAGTAGGACTCTTGTCATTCTTGGTCCCAGCCTTCTCATGGTCTATAGTCTGGAGGTGGTTGGGGCAGGGTGGGCGGGCGGTCCCAGTCTTGGGGGTTTGTTTTGCATTTTTAATTCTGTTGGTTGTCCATTTCTGAAATAGGAAGAAGAGGAACAAGGAGAAGAAGGTGGAGATGGGGCTGCAGGTGACCCCAAAAAGGAAAGGAAATCACTAGACTCAGATGAGAGTGAGGATGAAGAAGATGATTACCAGGTACTGAATTTGGTGGGGGCCTGGGACCTGAACTCATTCATTCAACATACATTTATCAAGTACCTGTTGATTACTGGTCCCAATGGTAGATACAAAGTCCTTGTTCTTAAGGGCGTACATTCTGGTAGGGAGGTACAGTCATGTGCCATATAACGATGTTTTTGTCAACAATGGACCACATATTATGATTTTGGTCCCATAAGATTATAGTAGGTCTGAAAATTTCCTATCGCCTAGTGATGTCATAGCCATCGTAATATTGTGGTGCAATGCATTATTCATGTAATGTTTTTGGTAATGCTGATGTAAACAAAACTACCAGTTATGTAAAAGTATAGCACATACAATTACAGTAGTAGACTATACCATCTAGGTTTTTGTAAGTATACTCTGTGACATTCGAACAACAACAAAATCGCCTGATGATGCATTCTTCAATATGTATCCCTATTGTTAAGGGGCATATGATTGTATAGACAATAAAGAAGTAAACGAACAGTGTAATTTCAAGTAGCAAGAAGTATTACAGATAAAATGCACTGTGATCAGGGGTACTTGGAGTAGTGTGTGGTGAGGAGGTTACTTTTATTTATTTATTTATTTATTTTTATCCTCACCCGAGGACATTTTTCCATTTTTTTGTTCAGATAGAGCGGGAGGGAGAGAGAGGAAGAGAGAGAGAAACATCGACGTGAAGGGACACATAGAGTGGCTGCCACCCGCACGACCAACCAGGGCCAGGGACAAACTGCAACCGAGGTACGTGCCCTTAGCAGGAACCGAACCCGGGTCTCTCTGTACCGTAGGCCGACGCTCCAACCGCTGAGCCAAACTGGCCAGGGCGAGGAGGTTACTTTTAAACTGAGATCCCGAAAACAAGATGGAGCCAGTCATGCAGAACACTGGAGGCAGCCAGATTAGCAAGTGCAAACGCCCTGGGATGGTAACAACCTGAACATATTTAAGGATTAGAAAGAGGTTGGTGGGGCTGTGACTTGGTGGGTAAGGAGGAGAGTGGTTAGGGATGAAGAAGGAAAGGTTGGCAAGGGCAGTTTCTGTGTGACTGTAGAAGGGGTTGGGTTTCATTGTAGGTGGACAGTGGGCAGCTGGTGGAGGTTTTGAAGTTGGAGAGAGAGATGACTAGATTCGCTTTCTTTTTTTGTTTGTTTGTTAATCCTCACCCAAGGATATTTTTTCCATTGATTTTTTTAGAAGCGGGGGGAGAGAGAGAAAAAACATTGATGTGAGGGATATATCGACTGGTTGCCTACCGCATGCACCCCAACCGAGGTTAGGGTGTGAACTCGCAATCCAGGTACGTGCCCTTGGTTGGAAATCAAATCCAAGACCCATCAGTGTGTGGACTGATGCTCCAGCCACTGAGCCACAGCGGCCAGGGCTAGATTTGCTTTTCAAAGATTGTTTTGGCTTCTCTGCAAAAAGTGAATTGTAGGGTATTAAGAGTAGGAAGCAGAGAGATGTTGGCAAGTATCCAGACAAGAATTTATGGCTTGTATTAGGGTGGTAGCAATGGCAGTGCAGGAAAGTGGGCAGATTCAAGCCGTATTTTAAAGATTTAGTGGGGTTTGCTGAGGGTTGGGTGAGGAGCTGAGGTAAGAAGGAGTAAGGCCATACTTAGGATTCTGAGGAAGAGAGGGATGGGTTGGAGTGAGTTCATGTTCAAGTTCTGTTTTAGACACATTAAGTTTGTGATGTCAGGATCCAAGTTGAGGTGCATATATGCATCTGGATTGGATATCTGCAGCTCTGTATAGTGGTCAGATTGACTGGTGTTTAGAAGCTGTCTTTCTGGTCACTTTATTAAAGAAGAATGATGGGGTTGACAGGGCCTGATACTTTAACCAAATCAACTACATTAAGAATTTGTGCTCTCATTTTTTTCTGATCTTCTCCAAGGGTGTGGGAGGTGCAGGCTACAGGTTCTTGGGCCAGCTCTCAAAACCTGTAGACTGAGATCTGATGGCTCAAGTTGCATTTCCCTCCTGTCAGTTTAGATGGCTAGGAAATAGAATTTGTCCTGAGACCATTGTTGGCCCACCCTACTCTGGAGTTCCAGCATTGCTTGTTGCAGTCAGGCATGAGATTCCATGGAAAAGTGCTTTCAGAGTCTGAGCTTAAAGTGGAGAAATAGTGAGTGCTCTGTGTTGGGAGTTTCTGAGTTGGCCTTGGGTTTACATCTCATCTACTGTCTACATACTGGTTGGCCTTAGGCAAGTTATTTAATTCTGTGCCTCCATTTTGTCATCTTCGAAAGTGGGATAGAGTGCACATGAAAAGATTTAGAGACAAGCTCTGAAGAATAGGAATGAAATCTATAATTTCCAAGAAAAGGAATCAGTGACTAAAACTAGGAAAAAAATAATTAAAAGGTTCAGTAAATTTGATAAGAGTAGGGAACAAGGAAAGGAAGGCAAACAAACAGAAAACATCAAAATAAGGTGGTAAAAACAAATCCAAATAATAGCAATACTTAAATTGATAAGTGAAAGACATTGAGTATTAGATTAGATCCATGTTTTAACATGCCTAAATCTCAGAAACATACCAGCACCCAAAACAGGGCAGCAAATTGCAAACTATTGCGCAATACCCTATACATAATTTTTTTTTTTTATCCTCACTTGACATTTTTGCATTTATCTTCAGATAGAGCGGGAAGGAGAAAGTGGGGAAGAGGAGAGAGAAACATCGATGTGAGACACATCGACTGGTTGCCACCCCAAAAAAAACAAACAAAAAAAGAAAGTGGGATAATAATCCCTGGCTGCTGGGACTTAGCATAGGTTGGGCTGTAGTCACACGTGCTCTCTCCTCGCACCTCCCAGGCCAGTAAACACACTCCTGAATGCTATTCCCACTGTGAGCCTCTAGGTTAAGCATCGCGTTGGGCTGGGGATGGGGCGTGGAACAGGAGTTTGTTCCCATCCACATGGGCTCTTGGGAGATGTTGGGAGTAGCCTTCAGGGGCTCTGTAGGACCTAAACTTCTCCAACGGCCAGCTTCTTGTCCTATCTTAGCAAAAGCGCAAAGGTGTGGAAGGCCTTATTGACATCGAGAACCCCAACCGGGTGGCACAGACAACCAAAAAAGTCACACAACTGGACTTGGACGGGCCCAAGGAGCTTTCAAGGAGAGAACGGTAAAATCTGCTGCTGCGCCTGGTGACCTGTGCACACAGGCCAGGGGGTAGGACCTGTGGAGGGCTGAGGCACCCACCTCCTTTGAGACCCTTGCTTCCTGGGCTCTGAGATCTCCAGTGGCTGGGTGGGGGCTCCAGCTACGGTGTTGATTTCTGTTTCATATCATTTTCTAAAGGTTCTATGGAAGCTTCTCCAAAACAAAACAAAAACAATGTTTAAATTCACCAATAGAAATAAGGGCAGATTCAGACCTGAGGGTTGCACATGAAGTAATTCCCAGGGTTACGGAAGGTTATGCTACGTTCCTGCCTCCATAGCACCCCGCTCCATGGACACTTCCTTTATCCAGCCTGATGTCATTATTCCTGATCTGCATCCATCTGTAATGTTATGGCCATGGAGATTGGGAGGGGATTTAGGATCTGTGGAATCCAGAAGGCAGCACAGAGCAGGGAGATCCACTGGTGCTCCAGCCCTCTCCAAGTCTTAGGTGAAAATAGAACTGCAGAAAATATAGCTTCCTCATAGATTGTGTAAGGATCACAATCGAGTACCAAGGTGCCCTGCACTCTGCCAGTTTTCCACAAGTTTTGCCCTGACTTTTGATGGCCACCAGGTGACATCAAGGGCCTTACAAAAGGTTGAAGACTAGGAAAAACCATCCTGTTTTCTCTCCTGAATGGGCTACTAGGATTTCGATCCACCTTCCTGTGCTGGCTCCATGATGGGGGCAGTCTGTGAAAATCCCACAAGGTATATGAAAACCCATGAGGAAGGTCCATGAGCTTGGGGTGTGATTGGAGACTATGATGGACTCTCCCCTCCAGTAGCTTCCTTCTCACCAGTGAAAAGGGGATCCTGTTGCTCCTCCCACCTTCTGGGTTACAGAGTGAAAGCCATAAAAGCCCGCACCCTGCCTGGCACTTAGCCTTCACTGAGCCCTCAGGCAGCTTTGCTTATCACTCCAGATGCCTCCGTCCCCCCACCCCCGTAGTATCTGCTGGACTGACAGGTACTTGTCTCATCTCTTCAGTACGTGTCTTGTCCAGAGTCTTCTGGGCAAGACATCTGCTCATCCAACTTTGGTTGCAGGGTTTCTTTTCCTCCCCTCTGGCCATGCCCCATGCCTTGTTTTTCATTACTTCCCAGCCCTGTGTGCTATGAGGACTCTGGGATGCCAGGTCTCTCTCTTCCCCAACTTTCTGCCAGGCATGACTTCCCTGCCACCTCCAGAATTGGCTCTTCCAAGAACCTGGTATAAATGAGACACTCTAATCTTACATCCTAAAGGGCACGCACGCCAGTTCAGAATCTCAGGTGTGGGAATAAGATTCTTAAAGGGAAACTAATGACCCTCACCACTCTCTATCAGGTCAGTGGCTATCACCTTTGTCCCATGGAAGTCTAGCTCTTATTTACACCCACATCAATGGGGGCTCACCCCTTGGGGGCAGACTCAGGCACACCTGAGCTGCACTGATTGAGAATGTGCCGTGTCATGTCCACCTGGACTACCCAGGGTGTGCCTGGTTATCCGTGGCCACTTGGTTCTTTCCTTTCTCCACTCCTCATAGAATGTGGTTTCTATTGCCTTCCTCCTCCTGGCCATCTTCTGTGGACACAGTTCACTTGGTTTTGGTTTTCCTTTTTCACTGTGGACACCAGATCCTAGTCAGCCACACCCTACCCACCCCCTCACCATCCCAGCCAGACATGGTCCACACTGTGCTACGGCTTTCCAAAGGTCACAGGCGCTGAGCTCACCCCTTATCCTGTTTTCCATCCGAGAAAGCTGAGTACACCACTTGAACTTGTCCCAGCCCCTTGAGCCTGTCATGTAGAGGTCCAGGCCTGTCCCTCTGCATGTGTGGTGAGTGTCCATCAAAGGAGACATGTGGAACAGGGCCCCTCTCTTAGCCAGGGTGCCCTCTAACACTTGGGCCCTAGGCCTGAGACTGGCAACCTATTGTTTCATGAATTGATGCTCAGCCACTGCGCCACAGTGGCTGGGTAGTAGTTGGCCTTTTTTCTGGCTCCTTAATCCACCTCAGCTGATAATGATGGGGATGTCCCCTGTGACACTATTTTATCCAAACAGAGAAGAAATCGAGAAGCAGAAAGCAAAAGAGCGTTACATGAAAATGCATCTAGCTGGGAAGACAGAGCAAGCCAAGGCTGACCTTGCCCGGCTGGCAATCATCAGAAAACAGCGGGAGGAGGCTGCCAGGAAGAAAGAAGAAGAGAGGAAAGGTAAGTCCTGAGTCACTAGAGTGCTGCTGACTCTGTTTCTAGGCACCCAACTCTGCACTTCACTGTCCTTGTGAAATGGGATGGGGTTAGATTGTGTGTATGCACCTTCCTCACTGTCAGGTGGAAGTGGGGGTTCCTACCCTCTTTCCCCCAGGGTGCTGGGAGGTCCAGCAACAGCACGGAGGCAAATACAGGTTTGAACATCAGCAGAGCACTGTCTGTGGCCTCAGGGATGTACCAGGTACAGACCTTTGAGTCTAGAAGGTTCCACCAAGGTCCTGGTGTCTTACGTGGTTGGGAAAGCTGTTTGAGGGGTTTGGGAAGGTGGTACAGGGTGGGTTACATGCTGCAGACTCAGATGAAATCTGACCCAAGTATCCCCCCATGTCCTCCCTCCAGTGGGGCCAAAGGTGGTAGAGGGTTCCAGTAAGCCAGGTCGGCTGTGAGTTGGTCTGTTTTATAGGAGCTTTTGACTCATGTTCTGCTATCTCCTGGTCTCTTGAACTGTCCACATGTGGGACCATGAAAGCTTTTAGGGATCTTGCTATCCTGCCTCCTCACCAAATTACAAAGAAATGTGGCCCAGAAATGGGAAACCAGTTGCCCAGGGGCATTGTTATCACACTGGAGATACCTGGTTGTCCCAGCTCCCTGCTAGTTGCTCTTGTTTCACAAAACCCCAAGCAGGAAAGGATTTACTATGTAACTGTTTGAACATTGTTGCTGATTTTAGAAAATTCAGAACTCACTGGGGCAGATGGGAATTACTGGCTTCAGCCAGGGTGGGGGTTGGGTGTTAAGAGTTTATATTTGTGCCCCGGATTGCATGTTGGAGTGGGCCCCAACTCATTGAGAATGTACACCTGGGTTCATTGGCTTTGGCAGAAATCTCCCTCTGGAGGACCTTAGGCAGGCTTCCTCCAGTCTCTGCCTGGTGAGCTAGTTGCACAAATGTTTTCTGAGGCCTTTCAGACAGTTCTGTGATTTCTGGGAGTGGGGGTTGTATATGTGGAAGGGTTGTTTTAACTTGACCTTTTCTTTCCCTTTCCACCCTCAGCAAAAGATGATGCAACTTTGTCAGGAAAACGAATGCAGGCGCTCTCCCTGAATAAGTAGCGCGGCCTAAGGGAAGAGATACCGGGGAACTGGGCCATGTGGCCAGGACCGCTGCTGTCTCGCCCACCCTGTGCCCTGTCACCGCTGCAGCAGCCCCTCAAGACAGAGTCCCCCACTGCCTGGGGCCTCCTTTTCACCTTGGCGCAGAAATTGTTTGGGGGATGGTGGGGGGGGCTGGGGGGAGGGGGCAGCTGCTATCTTTGAGACAGAAAGATGCAGGACAGCATTTCACATGTAACCATTCAAATGTTTTTGCTGTTTTTAGAATTCAGAACCTTTATGGTGGGTGCCTGGGAGGTGGGTAAGAAAAGCCGCAATTTGTCTAGTAGGTTGCACGGTAGGGGGCAGTTGTGTTGGGTGGGAGCTGCTGTTGGTGAGTTTGCGACAACCAGCCCATCTGTGTTGCCTGGGTGCTCACTCAGGGCCTGTCATCTGGGAGCCTGTACCCCTGGGTCCCTGAGGGTCATGGCTTCTTCCATGACTTTCCCTGTGCCCTTCTCTACCCCATTCCCAACCTTCTGACCAAGAAACCTCTGTTTACTGTGTAGCACCCAGGCAAAACATGCTCTACAAATTCAACTTGTATATTTGGCAGATTAAACTTGACATTATCTTAATCCTTGTTCCATGATCCATCTTTGGGCCTCTGTGCCTGGGCCTTTTTCACTCAGCAGGGTTATGTTGTCACTCTCAAGGCAGGCCTGCCCCATAGGGTTCAGTTGGCACTGAGCAGGGTTTGGGGACTGGACCTAGGGCATCCAAACTGGAGAGACCTCAGGATATAGAAGTTCAGCCCCTCCCCCCTTAAAATTTTTTTTTTCTTTATTGATTTTTAGAGAGAGGGGGAAGGAGAGATAAAAACATCGATGAGAGAGAACATTGGTTGGTTGCCTCCTGCATGCCCCTCACTGGGGATTTGACCCACAATCTGGGCATGTGCCGTGACCGGGAATCAAACTGGTGACCTCTTAGTAGATGCTCAATTACTGAGCCGCACTGGCCGGGCACGCCCCTCCCTTTACCCAAGTAGGGATCTGGCCACAGCAGGCTGGCAGCAGCACTGGACCTTCCTGTCCTGTCCTCCAGGGGCCCCCTGGTGGTAACAGCCTCAGGATATCAGTGCTAGGAGGAAGCATCCTAATAGCCAATACCCAGCATGACTGCCAGGCATTACCTCAGTCAGTCCTTACCACTCAGTATGATGGGGATGGCAGCAGAGACATGGCACAGTCATATGGATTGCCTGCAGGCTCAGCCATGGTGCCTGTCCTGCCCCTGCACAACCTCATGAGGGGTGCTCTATTTCATAAATAGCATCTTTTGTACATGGTCCTGAGAAGTCAATGACTGGGTGCCAAGCAGGGAATTTGACCTGAGGTCAGACACAGATTTAGTGGCAGAGATGGACTTCATCCCCTGATTCTCAGCAACCTTTACCAAACCCCCCGGGCTTGACCATGATGGAGGTCACAGCCCTGAGCACCCCTCAAGGGATACTAAAGCTGCCAGCATCTGCAGTTCACCCTGGCCTGCAGAAAACCACTCATTACCTACATTAAGAGAGAAAAACCATCATTACATGAATAGGTAGCTAAAAATTACGTGATTAAACAAAAATAACCTTCTGAATAAAATGAGAATGAGTGAAGTCTTAAAAATGAGCATTTACCAGAAATCAACTGCAAACATAAAAGAGTAATTAAATTTACATTAAAGCCCAAAATCATTCTGGAATGTGCTACCACTTGTCTAGGAGTCTGACTAGTGACTGACTGACTGACAGGACAGACGCCCAGTCCTGGCAGCCCCCAAGCTGGACTGCAGTGGGGAGGGAACCATTTGGGGGAAGGCTTTTGGGTTTCCGGATTAATTTTTCTGGCAAGCAGAAATAAGCTATCTATGTCCGTGCAAAAACTAACCTCTTCCAAACACAGGCTAGCGTGTCTATATTTGCATTTTTATTATCTCCATGTTTTTTTTAAGCAGTTCATGACCAGCAGAGTGCTTTGGGACATTTTTTACAATGAATGGAAATATTTGTTTAAGAACAAGGCACATATTCCTTCAAATAGGCAAGGAAAGCTTCCTACTTCTCCCCTTCCTTTCTCGTGTTGGGGACCCAAACTGGTACCTTAGAAACATTCAGCAAAGCGAGCTTTAGCTTCCCTGACTCCCCCCTCAGCAGCTGGGATGGGGCCAACATCTCCTCACAGGTCATTTGATCTTCAGGTCCTTCAAGGCTGATTCCAAGCTCTGAAAGGAGATGAGCGGAACAGGCTGGTTCTCAGCTGTTCCACAGACATCCTACCCACCCCCACCCGAGCCCCAGGCAAGCAGAGGGCAGAAATCTTGGGTCTTTTGGGTCCAGCAGATCTGAGTTTGAATCCAAGCCCTAAAAAGGAGGTGCCTCAGAGCCTGCTGAGGCTCAGTATCAAGGGCTACCTCTCATCCCTCCCACCTCATTCCAATGAGTGCCTTTCTCCTGCAGGAATGAAGGACGGGGCATCAAGGGAGGCTGCCACGGAGAAAGGTGGGGAGGAAGGGCCCCCGGGAGTCTGGTGGGACACCAGTGTGGGGTGAGCTGTACCTTCACATCCCAGATGCTCATGCCACCATCCATGCCGGTAGTGCAGAACTTGGAGCACTTGGCCTTGCCCCCGCTGAGCACTGAGATCTGGCTGCAAAGAGGATGAGGCCTTTACAGATCCCAGCCTGTGCCTGTGCTGAACTCAAGATCCCCTGCCCTCCAGTAGCTCCTGGGGGCTCCGACTTCAGTGAGAAGTGCTGGGGTGTGCCTCGAGGGGGCAGCCTGGGAGGCAGGCTGTGCAGGATCACAGAATGGGGCTTATGAGTCTGCTTGAGGAACAGCAGTAATGTGCAAAGTGCAAAGGGCAGCCCAGACAACTGGAACAAGACACAAAGGCCTGAGCAGGGCATGAAGGACAGGTGTCTGGGGAATGCGTGTAGTGACAGTAGGGTGGCAGAATGGGAAAAAAAGTAAGAGATGGGCTGGGAGGTGGAGGAACTAGTTCTAAAGAGCTTTGAAAGCCATGCAGAGGTGTTTGGTCTAAAGACAGCACTGGACCCTGCAGCCACAGGAGGGTTTAAATGGCTGTCATAAAGTCTTGTCACAATTCTCTATTTGCGACAGGGTGGACACGTGTGGCTGGTAGGATTTAGAAGTTTTGGAGAGTTTTCCCCTCGTCCTACCCTCGTTCTTCATGGAGGCTTAGTTCTACCACTAGTTCACCAGTTTCTAGCACTAAACCAGTTTCAGCTCTGGCCCCGCCCCTAGCCGGTTGGTCATTGCCTGGCCACCTCAGAGAAACACAGGTTCCACCCCTAAGATGGTCCTCACACAACCACATCCTACAAATGCAGAGGCTCACTGCTCTGTCCCCACCTGATGGTATTTTTGTGCAACCTAACAAGATGGAACTGACTCCCTAAATCTGGGCTCGCACCTCCACACTGCTGGGATGAGTCTAGACCGCTCACTCCCAGCACCTCCCCCCGCCAAGGCCCGTTCTGCCCCTCTGGCCCTGCCTTCATCTGGCTCCTTTCTTGGGCAGCTAATCAGCAGCTAATCCAGGCCCCGCTCCAGGCCCGTCCTCACCTGACGCTGTTCTTGTGCAGGGAGTCCAGGCCTGTTCCGCCGGCCACGCCACTCTCGGAGCTCGCCTTCTTGTCGAGGTTCTGGAAGCGCTCGCGGGCTGTCAGGCCGCGCTGCGAGCTTTGCTTGGGCACGTCCAGCCGCCCACCAAAGCTCAGTATCCCTGCGGCGCCGTCGTAGGTAAAAAGCACTGGGAAACAGTCGTGGCCCTGCAGTAGGGGCGGGGTGCTATTTGAGCACAGCGCCCCCATTTTCCACATGGGGAAACTGAGGCTGGAGGCAAGGTGTGCTGCCAAGGGACATTGGACCATGAGTCTGGTGGCCCAGGAGTATGGATGGACTTGAGCGGAAGAGCTATGGGGAAGCTGATGTCAGCTTGTGGGTACAGCCAGACCAGCTTCAGGTAGAGGGAGCAGATACTGGGGATGAGCATATCAGGGTGGCTCCTACCCCAGTAAAGCCAGTGTCTAGATGAGAAGGCTTGTCTCGGGCTCTTCTGGGAGCCCAGGGGCCTTCTGTCCTCATCAGCAGGTTACACCTGCTCTGGTAGAGACCCCACAGCTGTAGCTTCTCTAAACCAAGTAGGATTGATCTCCCTCTGAGACCCTCGTTATGTTTGCTGAGAGGTGAAAAAGGACTTGACAGACAGGTGGACAGAAGGAGGGAGGGAGAGCAGTAGGGCCCTTCTGGACACATGGCAGAACTGCACTCCCCCACACACCCACTCTGAGTTAGGTGTGGCCCCGTCATTTCTACTGGCTAATAAGATAAGCAGAGATGTTAGTGTCCATCCAGGGCATGGCAGCTGGGAGAGCATGTTGCTGACAAAGCCTCCATCTGCACTGAGCAGAGCCCCCCTCACAACACACACTGGAGATATAAAGTGAGCAAGAAATAAATATTTACTATAGTTAAGCCCCTGTATTTGGGGATATTTTTTGTTACCACAGCATAATGTAACCTGTTCTGATCAATACAGATATACAAATGAAAGGATGGATGGATGGATGAAAGAAAGGAGGGAAGGGAGGGAGGAAGGGGGAAGATGGAGAGGGAGGATGGGAAGGAGAGAACAAATGGATACAACTGCCCTGGCATCTCTGGGCTCACTGGGAGACCTGCTCTAATGGGCCATTGCTTCCCTCCTTCCCTCCTTCCTTACCGCAGCCACCAGACTGTTTTCTGTGATGAAGGTCACGGCCAGCAGCGGCAGCGTTTCAGAGGCCAGAGTCGCGACTCTGAGTGAGAGACAGATGTCAGCCACGTGGGCCCCCTCCTACTCCATGCCTTAGCTGTCCTCCCCTCGTCTGGCCTGTACTCACGCCATCTTCTTGTCAGCATCGGCCAGGCACACTGTGCTGTCGTGGCTAACCCAGGCCACGCGGCTGCCACTGGCTGAAAAGCAGACACCGTGCACCCAGCCGCAGCTACTGCTGGACTCGAACATAAGCTCCCCGAAGGGCATCTTGGAGCCCCATGGGGTGGGTGCTGGTCGCTCCTCCACTTCCTTTATGTAAGCTGAGAAGATCCTGCCCACAGAGGTGGAAAAAAAAAAGGTGACTTGGAGTCTGAGGGGGCCCCAAGAAGATATTCCCTTTCTCAAACCAGCCTGGTAAAGTCAGAGCAACTGGCTGGGAGCTCATGGTACCAGAGTCGGCTTTTCATAACCTGCATCTTCACAGGTAGTCAAGTTTGGGCCTCAGTGCCATCTTTGTGCAATGGAGTAGGGCCAGGAGGTCTCCCAGCTGAGTCCTGTGAACTCCCAGGGCCCTTGGGGTCCTTACCTGAGGACTGGCCATCCACTGGTGACACACCACCAGGAGGAGTCCTGGTCTCCATCATGGGGCCACTACTCCACAGCCAGTCCCTAGGATGACCCTTCTCCCTCCTATTCTGCACCTTGAACCAATCCTGCCCCTTGTCTTGCCATCTCTACCCTGCATACTGCTGTTCTCTCTACATCTCAGGGCAGCATGGGGTCACCTGACAGATCAGAGTGCCAAGAAACCAGCTCCCTACCCAACAATGGAGCCTCATCAGGACATCGTCCTCCCTGTGCCCAGGGACTCCAAAGGGACCTCTGGAGTCTGCCGGAGCCTCATTTCCCAGGTGGACATTCTGAGACCTAGGCCATCTGCCTGTAGCTAGGAGCTGGAGGCCTTTGGAGACTCGGGGCTGCTGAACAAAGAAGTAAAAAACAGCCTATGGCGACTGGAGACTCTACATTCCAGGCCTTAAGATAATGACGCAGGGTCTGCCCCAGCTTATCAGTCATCTATACCTTCGTGTAAAAAGGTACACCCACTCATTTTCCTTCAGACAGAAGTCAGGGGACTGAAGGGGTGGGAGGTTCTAATGAAGCAGGAGAAGAAGGCCTAGGAAAAAAACCTTGCTGACATTAAGAGGTAGGAAGAGGCTAAGACTCTTCATGGGCTGGAGACAGGACCCAATGATGATCCTTGAAAGAGCAAAACCTCACAGATAGTCGACTGAGGCCCCAGGGCACCCTGCTGGCAGCAAAGTTGGTCTGCAGCTGGTCTGGAAGGCAGGGTGTGGGGCTCTCGGGATGGGGCTCCCCTCCACGCTCCAATCCCTGTTCCTGCATTGATGGCAGGGCCCCACCCTCTCACCGGCACTTGAAGTCGCAGGAGCCTGCAGCCAGGAGCACGTTGTTGGGGTGCCAGTCCAGGCTGAGGACGGTGGAGCGAATGGGCTTCTTGATGTGCTTGCACACCCACCTGGATACGACAGTCAGATAGGTAAGGGGGAGAGAGGGACAGACAGGTGGGCAACCCACTGACCTCAATGCCCTGGGCTCAGTGCCCAGAACTCCAGCCTCCCACTGAGCCCTGCAGACCACTGAGGTCCCAGGACAGAGGGGTCTGGGCACTGTCAGCCGATGGGCCTGTCAGGGCAGGTTCAGGCCAGTAATGTGTGGAAGCTCTATCCCCGGTCTCCTTTAAACATCATGACAACCCCGGGCAGGCTCAGTGAAGCTGCTAATTGGCTAAAGTGGGATTTGAACTTGGGTCTCCCAGACTGCAGCCTGAGATCCTGCCTGGCTGCTGCTGTCAGGGACCCAGGGGAGAAGATAATGATGTGGCTGGAAGCTTGTGGCTGGGTACCTTGGGCAAGTTACTTGCTTCAGGGCCTTACTTACTCATCTGTGAAGTAGGAACAACAATAGATGCCTAGTTTAGGGGGCTGTGGGGAAACCAGTACCAATATGTGTGCAGGGCTTAATGTGATGACCACAAAGGCGAGTGGTGTGGTTTGTCCCCTTGTTACTGAGACAGGGCTGTGGGAGCACCTGGTGGTGTTGAGCCCCTCACCTCACCTATGAGGTCCCGAGAGGACACACTTTCCCAGGGTGGTGTGAACAGGAGGCCCAATGCCCCATTTGGTACTTTCTGGGACACTCTAGCCCTTCCACCTGTTGGTCTGCATCCCTGGGTACCTCCAAGCCCACCCAGGCCCTGCCCAGGTACCCACCAGTCATTTTCCTGCTCGAAATAGCAGATGGAGATGACACGGGAGCCGCTGCCCACAGCGAACTTGTTCTCATTGGGGGCCCAGCGCACACAGCGAGCAGCCCGGTTGATCCGCAGGATGACGAGTGTGGGCTTCCACGTGCGGCCCTTCAGTGTCCACACATAGGCATTGCGGTCTGTGCCACAGGTCACAATGCGGTTACTCTCCGGGGCCCAGTCAATGCCTGTGGGATGGTGAGGTAACGCTAGGTTGAGGCAAACTAAGCAGAGGTGGCTGACTCTACAGTGTCCATGTAGAAGGGGCTCAGAGGTCACAATCTGAACAAAAGCTGCTTCAGGGGGTGCTACTAGAGCTTATTGGGGGTGTTACAGCTCCCACAGCTATCACCAAACATGCTGGAAGGCCAAGCCAAGAGACAGAAAAGTAATGGATCCTTGGCAATGCTAAGCTGCTGGATCAAACCTTCTCTGAAGCCCACAAACTGAGTTTTACAGTTACATGAACCAACATAATCCCTTTATAACTTAAGCCACTCTGAAGCAGGGTTGTGTTACTTACAACCCAAACTATCCTACTAACACAGAGTGGGTGGATGGCCCTGGTTGGCCATGTCAACCTCTAGCCTCCTTTCAGTAGGGTGGTCCCAGCCAGCCTGACCCACCTGTCACCTGCCCGTTGTGCTCCTTGAGCTCATGCACCTTGACCCACTTGGCTCCGCTCTTCTCATAGATGTGCACCTCGTGGTTGTTGGGGCAGATGGCGATCTCTGTAGGAGGGACGAGCAGGGTGTGGGGAGTCAGAGGATGCATGCCTGCCCAGCTCCCCACTGCCCTCACAACTCCTGTCTACCTCCCTTCACAGACCACCTGGGCAACACCTTGTCCGTTGAGACTCGGACTCCTCTTAAGTCGCTCAGGCCCTGATGGCCTTTCTTGTGACACTTCCCCAGGGACTGGCCACCTCTTACCTGTACCATCCAGATGTCCCCACAACAGTCTCATGACTTCTGGGAGCTGCTCCCAGTCCCCTGCTACTGCCCTCTGCTCTTCACCCCAGCCATGGTTTCTTCACTGTCCAACCTCAGGGCCTCTGCACACGCCCCTCCCGCTCTTCCTTTAGGTCTTTGCACTAAGGTCACCTCCTTCGAAAGGCCTTCCCCTGCCACCTTTTCTAAACCAGCACCTCTGTCCACTGCCTTCCCGTACCCCATGTGTTGCTCTTCAGAGCTCATCTCACTCTCTGCCACTGCAGCTATGTCTTTGGTTTTCACCCCAGCCTGTGAGCCCTGCACCTACAGCCCACCTGCGCCAGGTCCTGCTCTCACCTCCACGCCTCGATGCCCACTTGCCTGGCTGCCCCTGCTGGTCCCAGAGCAGCTCATCCTTTCTCTCCTAAACACCCAGGACCGGGGGTGAAGGAGGGGACAGCTGGCTCTCCGAGCCCACAGTCCAGGGCGCCTGACTGCTTTAACGCCCATGTGTGCTCTAGGGGAAGGAGGGCACTCACGCGTGTGGTCCTTATTCCAGGCATGGCAGCTGATAGGCTCCACCAGGAAGCTGTGGTAGGCCATGGCTTCTCAGCTTCTGTGCCCAAGACGGGGAGAACCCAAGTCAGCTTTGCCCCTGCCCCAGACCAGGCTCCGACTGACCTCACAGGAGGGCAGTGGGGGCCACCCTGCCTCCCAACTCTTGCCTGGTGCCTTGCTTCACTCCTGGGCCTCAGTTTCCCTTATAAAAATGACAGTTCTCTTGGGATGCCTCTGGGCTCCACGGAACAGAAAAGGATGGGGTGGGGGATACAGAGGTATTGGTGAAGCCACTATTATGAGTGTGATGGGACCCAGCGCCAGGCAGGCCAGCACCCATCAACTCTACCTCAGTTTTCTCATAGATAGAGCTCACCCCCAGGAGAATGGGGTGAGGATGAAATGAAACAATCTCAAGAAACAAAAGCAGTGCCCTGCCTGTTCACGCTGAACTAGCTGTGCTCAGCCTTTTCGGTGCCTGGAGCAGAACTCCTGGTCTTCACACATGCTTTTCCCTCTGCAGGGAAGGCTGCTTCCGAGGATGTGCCTAATGTGCTGGCTCTGTCCACAGTTCACGCCTATGTGCCATTCTCTCCCTCTACTCAATACCCACCTCTGTTCTATTGGGCAAAATCCTACTCATCCATAGCGACCAAAGTAAACATACTTCCTCAGCAGCCCAGGCTCAGGCCACATATGCTCATGCATGTTCAAATTTGCACACACATAAGAACACTGCTCCCACACACGTGTTCAGCCTTGCACACACACAAGCACACTGCTCCCACATGTGTTCAGCCTTGCACACATGCACTGTTCCCACACGTGTTCAGTCTTGCACACACACAAGCACACTGCTCCCACATGTGTTCAGTCTTGCACACACACAAGCACACTGCTCCCACGTGTTCAGTCTTGCACACACAAGCACACTGCTCCCACGTGTTCAGTCTTGCACACACACAAGCACACTGCTCCCACGTGTTCAGTCTTGCACACACACAAGTACACTGCTCCCACACGTGTTCAGCCTTGCACACACACAAGCACACTGCTCCCACGTGTTCAGCCTTGCACACACATGCACTATTCCCACACGTGTTCAGCCTTGCATACACACAAGCACACTGCTCCCACGTGTTCAGTCTTGCACACACAAGCACACTGCTCCCACATGTGTTCAGCCTTGCACACACATGCACTGTTCCCACGTGTTCAGTCTTGCACACACACAAGCACACGGCTCCCATGTGTTCAGTCTTGCACACACACAAGCACACTGCTCCCACGTGTTCAGTCTTGCACACACACACACAAGCACACTGCTCCCACATGTGTTCAGTCTTGCACACACACAAGCACACTGCTCCCACAATAGCTACCTCCCTAGCCTGTCTCCTTATAAGGCCTTTTGTGGGCAGCAAGGCCCCGGAAGTGGTACGGGAGCTGTCAGCCCAGATCAGCAGGCTTGATGGGGATTTCCCCTAAGTTTCCAGTGCATCTGGACTGGGCCATTGTTGGCATCCAGTTTTGCTGGGGCAGAGTGTCATCACTGTCTACACTACAGACGACGACTCAGGAGTGGGAGCACTAGGCTTGTCTGACTGCTAAACTGTGTTAATCTGCCCACCTCCATTTTCCAAGGTCACTAACAGAGCAGGGGCAGGGCTAAGTCTAGAGCCCACTTCCGAACCCCTAGACTCCAGCTGAGGCCAACCACCCCGATTCCTTCAGTCCCAGAAAACCCAGAAGGAGAAGCCGTGTAGCTGCAGCCCAAGGTAAATGTGAGGGTCCCTGGATCCCAGACTCAGGCTCAGAGCTGGTCAACAGAACCCAACTTCCCAGCTCAACTGTCACAGATTCGCCGTGTGGCCAAGCATTTCTGCTCCTTGCAAGGTCTTGGTAAGAGTGTCCGGACATGTAAAAGCTGCTCTAGCATGATGTTTTAGAGTTCCAGGCTGTGAAGATGGAGGCTGGGTGAGCTGAGGACAGTGGCCCCCATAGGAGCAAGCCATGTAGCTGAGAGGACTTGGGGAGCCCTGACCATTTTTTCCTGGGACCCAAAGGGTTCTCAAGTAGAAGAGGGAGAGGCTGGCAAAGAAGGCCACATGTGCAGTGGGACAGGCAGGGGAGGGAGATTCAGACTACACCTATCAGCATTCACACTTGAGCATGAATAAGACAGAAATACTTCCCAGTCCACTAAACCAACACCTCAAAGAGGGCAGGGGATATGGCTGAAGGGAGTGGGAGAAGGGAAGACGCATTTCCCCTTTTTCTTAAGTTTTTCATAACTTCCGCAAAGCAACTGAAACCAGCAAGGCCTCAGCAATGACTCCCAACCTCCACTTAAAACTGAGGACGTGAGCCCTGGCTGGTTTAGCTCAGCGGTTAGAGCGTCAGCCCTCACTCCAATGAGCTGTGGGTTCAATTCCAGTCAAGGGCACGTACCTTGGTTTTGGTTCGTCCCTGGCCCTGGTCAGGTCATGTGGGAGGCAACCAGTCAGATGTGTTTCTCTCTCTCTCCTTCCCACTCTATCTGATGATAAACAGCAAAATATCCTCAGGTGAGGATTTTAAAAAAAAATGAGGAAGTGAGAGCCCAGAGAGGGAGGAGCTTCGACCCACTGTGGCTTCAAGGCTATAGCCTCCTAGTTTAGGAATCTTTAGATTGTCCGTGGGGTCGGACCCAGGGAAGCAGCCTTCACACTGGGCCATGAGCCCTGGGAAACCTCTACCCTACAAAGGTGGGGATGTGGGCTCACTGCCAGACAACCTCCTGCTGAGGAAAATGCTGTGAGGGTTGCTTTGCCGTGTGCTGCCTCAGCACTGGTTCCTGGTGGAGGCAAAGTCAGGCTGAGATGTAGCCTTTGGGACACCCACCCACTTGTCACCATGTCTCTGTGAGACAGCACCCTGTGGGTCCATTTGACTGTTAAAGCGAGAGGAGGGGGCCCTGAGGATGGCATTGGGAATTGCAGTCCACATGCAGCGGTCTGTGCCCCACCCCCCATCACCTTTGAAACTGAGTGAGGCTGGGGGAACATGAGCCAAATCCTGAGAGACTCCCTGCTCTTCCCCATCCCAGAGCCGGGATCACTCTGTGGTCCCAGCAGCACCTCCCCCATGTCCACACACAGCAATTGCTCAGTGTGAATGGACCCAGGAGCACCCATGGCTGGTGGTGTGAGGGCAGAGAAGAGTGACATGGGGGCTAGGAGTGGGTGTGGGTCTTCAAGGTGGGGTCTGGGTTTCTATCCAGGGAGTGCCAAAGACCATGCACTGGGAGGTGGACAGGGGTAGTTGTTCACTGATGTATCCCCAGAACCAATTAGAGTACCTAACATACAGTAGATGTTCAATAAATATTTCTTGAATGTGGTTGAATGAATGAATCATATCCTTTCATGTCTGTCTTAGGGGATGGTCTATAAGGGATATGCCATATTACTTCAGTGGCACATGAAGGCAATTTGTACATATTTACTGGAGAGCATGTGCTCGAATTTTTTTCCTGATAGGGTCAATGATCAGAAAAGCTTAGAAACCTGCAGTCTAGAGAGTCCTCTGAAGATACGGAAAGAATACAACTCTCTAAAGCAAAGGGTCTCAGGCCTCAGGGCTCCTTCCTTACAGTGCTGGGTTCAAATTCTTTGTCCATACTGGCTGGGTGCCCTCAAACAATGTTTTCCTCACATCTCCATCCAGAAAAGGCTGGGGCTGGACAAGGGACCCGCTGTAGGATTTTTCTTACTTTCAGAGAAGCTTTGCCAGCTTTTCCTGAATGCAGACATCCGGCTATACTTGAGACTAATCCAGGCAGGAGCTGCCTGGAGCCAGGATCTCTGCTCTACGGGCACTCAGGGAAGTCCCCACCCAGCTCAGAGGCTGGCTAGAGAGCTGCCAGCAAGCCATTTTGCAGCATGCTGAGCAATTACTCAACTTCCTGTTGTGTGTAGAGCAGCCCTTGCCACCCCAAACAGACCAGCCAGTCCCTTCTCCCCAACTCTGCTCTTTAAGTCTTACAAACCAGGCAAAGTCAAGTCAAGAAACACAAATGAAAACAATCATAAGGCACCATAAGCCCCAGTTAAAGCAACTCAAACAAAACACATAAAACTCAATGCTGGCAGGGCTGTAGAGAAATTTTCATTTGTTGCTAATTTGTTCAGTCTTTCTGAAGAGCAATGTGATAATGCTCAATTCAGCTGGGTAGGAACAAACAACAGAATAACATGAACAGGAAATTAAGATCGTTAACACTCTGGTGACATAAATTCATTTTGGTGCTAAGAAAATAGGCACTGATTAATTTTTTTTAAAGCAAACATGTTCATAATAACCCTCTTTGTAATGGGGACAGGGTAGAACAATCCAGATGACTACAAATATTGAAAGAGTACATGTAATCTTAACACGGGTTTCTATTTAACTATTATGAACACATATGTAATAAACTTAAGTTGATTTGGCATCTCTAAATGCTCCAGATTTCCCAGGACTTTGACATAAATTCTATTCTCTCTTCTAGACCAAGCCTAGAAGTTTTTTGGTGTTTTGGGTTTTTTTTTTTTTTACTTTATTTTGTGTAGAAGGAAACTGAGACTCAGACAAAAGCCACTATTTGCTTAAAGTCACACAGCTCTTGCCCTGGCCAGTTTGGCTCAGCGGTTGGAGCATCAGCCCGTGGAGCAGAGTTGCGGGTTCAATTCCGGTCAGGCACATGTACCTCGGTTGAGGTTCAACCCGGCCTGGGGTGGTGCGGGAGGCAGCCAGTTGGTGTGTGTCTCTCTCACATCCATGCCCCCCCTCCCCCCGCCAATTCTATTTTTTAAAAAAGAAAAAATCACACAGCTCTTAAAGGCACAGCAGATTCTGACCCTAAATCTCAGAGGTTAGGTTCACCTGGACAGATTCTTTTATAAATGTGGGCACACATTTATACTGTGTGTGTAGCTGGCACATTGGCAGGTGCCTTACACACATGATCATATTTATGCCTCAGACTTGAAAGGTCCTCATTTTCCAGATAAGGCAAGTTGAGGCCCAAAGAGATTAGGTGGCTTGCTAAGGTCATCAGCCAGTGAAGGAAGAAGCTGACACTCTTATGTAGGCCCCTGTGACCTCATGGGCAATGGGTGCCCTTAACCACTTGATAGCATTGGCCTCCAGGCTCAGGAGCCTAAGGACAGCCTGGAATAATTTGGGGAGAGCCTCCAGCTCTCCTGCTGCTTCACTAGTCTTTACTTTATTACTGCCACTGCCCAAGGTCCCAGCCCTGCCCCTCCTGGGTGGCCTGGTTGTTCACCCCGCAGCTGGCGAAGGAGGGCCGATCAGATTCGCTGGGGTCTGGCTCCACCAGCAAGGGACCCTGGCCCTGGCCCTGGGGGCCGGCACAGGTTGGGGGAGGGGGCGCCGGGAGGAGGGCGGGGCCGGGCGGGGCCGCCAGCTCATTTCCCGCTGGAGCAACCCGGAAGGCTGGAGGATGAAGGGGAAGTGACTGGGCGTGGGTCCCTCGCCGACCGAAATAACGGGGACTCCGACCGTGGGGCAAAGCCCGGGAGCTGGCAAAGCAGGACAGGGGGGCAGGAGCAGACGGCGGGCCGGGGACTCGGGCACCCAGAGGACGCCGGGTGCGGGGAGCCCTGCGTTGCCACCCTTGGCCCGGCCCGCTGCCCCACCCCTCACCCCCTACACCCTCACCACCGGGCACCCCTTTACCTCCGGGTGGCCCCACATGTCCTGGCAGTTCCCCACCCTCACCTCTTGGCGCCCCCTCCCCGCGCCTCCGTCATCCCCGCCTCCCCTCAAGCGCCCCTCATCTCCAGGCGGCCTCCCCGGTCCCCCACCTCGGGGCCACCAACCCCGCGCGCCCCCTCACCTCGGGGCTCCCGGCCGCGGACTCTGGGCAGTCGACGCGCCGAACCGGCTCCGGGACCCGCAGCCACTTCCTCGTGGGCGGGGGGCGGGGCCTGGCGGCCGCGGCGCCGAGGGGACGGGGGCGGGGACCCAGGCGGTGGTCGGAGGTCAAAGGCCCCGCCCACCTCTCTGGATTTAGAGGCTGCACAGACCAGGGAACCCAGAAATTGTCCGCGACCGCCCCTCACCACTTCCTGGATGCGGAAACGGCTCCGGGAGGGGCGAGCAGCCTGAGCACCCAGCCGGGGAACCCGGAGCCTGGCAGGGATCCTGTCCCCGCGACCCCACCAAGAGCGGGGCGGGCTCTGGGTTCACACACTGGTGACCCAGCAACTTAGGGAGCCTCCGCAGGCCTCCGTCCCCAGCTCGCGGGATCGCCCTTCCTTCACCGGCTGGTACCTGCTGGGTGCCGAAAGTGCAGTGGGGCGTCGCCGAGGCAGGGGGTGCTGGCCCCGGGCAGCTGTGCACGCTGGCGCCCTGGCTGACTGGCTGGCCCAGCTCTTTTAGTTCCGACTTTTTGCACAGCTGTTCCACCCCAGTCTGCTTCACTTCTTTTGGGGCCACCTGAATTTTGGTCTTGGGCCAGGTGGTTCCCAGGGGCCTTTCCATTTCTACCCTCTGTCTCGTCAATGGAGAGGTGGCCAGGTGGCCTGACAGATGGAGGAGAGCTGGTGAAAACCCTGCACCCTCCCACTTCTGGCCCCTTTCCCTAGGACTTACTTCACCCAAAGGCAGCCGGGCAGCAAACAGTAGCAGCTGGGCTGGTGGGTGATCTTCATGGTCTCAGGAGGTCAGGGGCTAGACTACCACACTTCCAGATCTAGGGCATTTGACCTGCAGTTCTTTGTGCCTACCGCACTTTCACCCTGTCCCTCCCTGACCTACTTCAGTTTATCCTGCAGCTGTGGCTGAGTATCTTCTTAGATCACATTGACCCTGACCCCCTCCCCACTGGAGGTGTGTACAGGACTCCCAACAGGACTCTGTGCTTCCCAGTCCCAGCTCCTATTGCATTGAATTCCACCCTGCAGGGTTAAATGTGTCTCAACATGGAGCACTTCTAGTAGCAAACACAGTGAGTGATCAGTAAACTTTAGCTAAGATTTTAAAGAGCCGGAGCCTTCCTGGCTCTGAGGAGACACCGAGGGGCAGTTACCGAGACCCCCTATCTAGCCTTGTCAAATCCCAGTGATGGCTTTAGTCTAAACAGAAAAAGTTTCAGATGGTCTGTACTGGCAACCCCCTTCTCATGGGGACAAGTGTGGTTGTGAGGGGACACCATGTAATACTTATTGCATCTCTGGCTTCCGTTCTACCCCTCCGTAGCTTTGTAAATGCTTAGGAAATTCCCCCAGGTGACACTGACTCCCACCTCTGGTATGGGCCCTAGTCCTTTAAGCCAGCCAGCTCTGGTGTTCCTGGTCCTGGACTCCTGACCTTAGATGGCTAGGTCAAAGCAAAGCCCAGGACTTTGGATAACGATGGAGGGGAAGGAAGCCCCTTTTGGGGGAGCTGTACAAATCTAAACATAAAAGTGGAACAGCCACAAAGGAACCCAGATGACTCAGAGCTCAGATGGAGAGAGTCCCAGAGAAAAGACCAGAGCCTTGGTCAACCTCTGACTGGTCAGCCTGAGTCAACCTGCTCCATATAAAGGTTTCAGATACTCGATCCAAGGAGTCTACTTTGTTTTTAAGCTGGCTTGAGTTTTTCTGTTATTCATCACCAAAAGCATCCTGACAAATACGCATACCTGGACTCCCATTTCCTCCTTGTGAAAAGTGAACCGAAGCAGGCTGATTTGATGAAAAAACGACTCAGCTTAGAGAGAGCAGAAACCACATTCGTATTGCTCACTCTGCTCTCCCCGGTGCCTAGAACTGTGGCATGTAGGAGGCACTCTGTGGGAATCTGGTGCATGAGCAAATGAATGACCGAACAAGTGGTGTTAGAAAACCAAACCCATTTCACCTGTAGTGTGACTTCAGGCAAGTCACTCCCCTTCAGCGCCCGTTTCTGCATCTGTAAAGTGAGGCTGACTCATAACAAGCACTGCTACCCACTCACAGGCCTGTAGTCTCTGTGAGAGGGAAGACCCAATGGGTAGGAAAGCACAGCTCAAATGGGGACATGGCAGGGGTGTTATTTGAAATGGCTCCCTTGGGGTACAGAGTTTTCTAAGCCTAAAAGTGAAGCCAGTTCTTGGGTGAGGGGAGCCTGGGGTTGGAAGAGTTTCATTTGGAGTTCTGAGAACAATTCAAGAGCTTTCTGTTTCTTCCTGGAATCTGCCTCCCCCCGTGGTGCCCTGGGAAGAAGATGCTACACTCTCCCTTCTCTTCCTCCTTCTCAGGTATCCAGGGAATGCAGCTACACATCCAGGGAATGCAGCTACACACACACAGCCTGCCCAGGCTTCAGGGCAGGCTGACTTAGAGGAGGACAGTCAGTCAGGGGTTGCTGCAATGTGTCCAGGTCATCATGGTTTTTTGACTTGCTGCTCCTTCCTCCTTGTCACACTGGCCTTACTGTCTCCTGGTCACAAGAGGGCAGCTGTGCTCCAGAGGGCTCAGGGCACAGTAGGTAGGTCAAGGCAGTGGGACACCAGGGACAAAACTCTTTCCCAGAAGAGCCTAGAATGTTCTTCTGTCTCCATGTGTGCCCACCCCTGAATATGAACCATGGGTCTCTCTCTCAGATCAGGGATTGCCCTTTGATCCCTGTGAGCAGGAGAGAAGAGTGGAAACTCTGTACCTCCTTACCCAGGCCACACATACGTGTGAGGTGGCCAAAGCCTGGGAGGGCAGATGTCCCCCATGGCTGAGACTCAGAACACATTTAACATTCCACATCCCTGGCTCAGCTCTAGGGGGTAGGCCTTCTGATAGGGCTGGCACCCTCTTGCACACCCCCTTCCAAGCCACACAGTTTTATGTGGCAGTTCAATTGAGCCAAACCCGCCAGGGCTTTTTTTTTTTTAAATCCTCACCCAAGGATATTTTTCTCTTAATCTTCAGATAGAGTGGGAGGGAGAGAGAGAGGGAGAGAAAAATCGATGTGAGAGGTACACAATAGGCTGCCACCCCAACCAAGGCCGGGAACGAACTGCAACCAAGGTAAGTACCCTTGGCTGGAATTGAACCCGTGACTCATTGGTCTGGGGGCCGATGCTCTACTGCTGAGCCAAACTGGCCAGGGCAGTTAGCAGTTCTTACAGTAATGTATCAAGGCATGGCTAAAGCACCCTTCCTTGTGAAATCCCTCAGGTGACTGACTCTACCTCAGTGGTTTTCAAAGTATTTTTGCTCAGGATCCACAGTGATATATATTATGAACTAGTACAAACCTCTAAGTGTATCTGAAACATAAGTATCATGAAACACTTCTTACTCGTACTCCATGTAATACAAAATCTGTTAGTCTCGTTCTATTATTTTTTTAAATGCCAGTCATGACCTACCAAATTGATTTTTACAATCACTACTGGGCTCTGACCCTCAGTGTGACCATACTTCCCCTCTCTAAGCTGACCTAGTGTATCAGTTTCCCATTGCTGCTGTAGTAATGGCCACAAACAGGGTTGCTGTAAACAACACAAATGGATTCTTACAGTTGGGGTCAGCAGTCCACAACCAGTCTCACTGGAAAGGTGGCGTTCCGTCTGGAGGTGACAGGGGAGAACTCATTTCCTTGCTTTTCCCAACTTATAGAGGCTCCCTGTGTTCCTTGGATCTGTAGCCTTGTGACATTCCAGCCCACAATTCCATCATCACATCTCTGACTCACCCTCCAGCCTCCCTCTTATAAAGATCCTTGTGATTACGTTGGGCCTTCCTGGATCATGCAGGATACTCTCACCATCACATCTTCAATCTAATCCCATCAGAAAAGTTCACAGGTTCTGGGGATTAGGACATTGGGCATCTTTGTATGTATGTATGTGGCAGCATTATTCTACCTACCACACTTTGCCTGAATTATGCACACTAACTTAAATAACATAAGCTTATAATTCACATACTGATCTGTGCTGACTATCCCACATGGGGCAGCTTTATTGCCTCAGCGACACTGCACGCACCTGGGGAACCCTGGGCCTTCGCATCATTGCCTCCAGTGCTGGGCACACATGGAAACGAAAACGAAACTGCTTGTGATGACTGTTGGGCCAAACTGAAGTTATGCCTAAACAATTAATCTGGGTTCTGAAGCTGGCCCATTTTCTAAGCATACTTTTCTAGAAAGAACGATTGAATATTTTGGTTAGCAAAATTCTTCATACGTTGTTTCCCACCCTACCTTACTCTGTTATTAAGGGTCTCCAGGCCTATTATAGGGCCAGTGCTAAGCCTGGAAGCCAACCCCACCTTCACTGAATATCTAACAGGAATTACTAACACTGTATTACCATTTTACAGGTAGGGAGACTGAGGTTCAGAGATGTTAACTATTGCTCAAGGTTACACAACTGGGCAGAACTATGATTTGACACCAAAGCCCAAGGCTTTGAATCGAAGGCTTTGGTGATCACCTGGAACCCCTCCAGATGGGTAGTCGCTGTGGACCCAGGCCTGGCCTGAGTCTCGAAGGTAGGGTGAGAGGAGAGAGCTTCCAGTCTCAGACCCCAGCACTGCAGTACAGCACGGAGGGTTTCTGGCTGCCATGACTGGGATGGGTGGTCTTCCGTGGGCGAGAAATAGCACAAGTTACAAAAAGAAAAAAAACACTACTCTGTGGCTATTAAGTTCTTTGTGGCAAAGTTCACAACTTTTGTTTTGTGTTGCTGTTGATTCTTTCAAGGAACACATTGTTTCTCTAAAAACCTCTGGGCTTGCTAGCCAAGTCACAATGAAATTTCAAAAAAATTTTTTAGCTAATTCGTAATGTTTGGTCTGCTTTTGTCTTTCCTCTGCGACGACAGACTTGTGATGCACTGGTGCAAACACCGGTACACAAAGGAGCTCCTGCCATCAGGTCCACAGAACATGGCAGCAAACAGGGAAGAGGCAGGCTCAGGGAGCTGGCACCCCAGGTGCTGCTGGATTCTC